TCTAGTACTCCCACAATAACCACAACCCCATATCCACCCATCCCCATGCCCCCCACACCTAGCCACTCTTCCCCACAAATCCCAAAAATGCATCCACACATGCACCCACACCCTCCCCCACACTCCTTCTTGACCTTTCTGGTCCAGGCCCTAGCACTGACCAGTCAAGGGTGCCTCAATTCAGGCTTCTGAGCAACTAGCCCATACTCTCCAACATGGGTCCACCTTCTCAGGCCTTGCTATGGGGTTACCCACCCAGTTGTGGGGGCTGGAGTTATTAAGACACCCTGACCTGCCTTTACCTGGGGAGGTAACTGCTCTTCCTGGGGGCTCCAACACCACTAGGAGCCCCACCAGGCCACCCATCCCTAGCAGGGTGCAGTTTAAGGTCATGCCCAGGACCAGGACCTCCAAACCATCCCCATAAGCTGCTGCCCTTACCTCCAAGGTCTTCATGGAGCAACAGAGCTCAGCAGGGAGATGTTTCTTCCCTGCTGGCTGGTCACAAACTGCTGCCCTTCAGCATAGAGAGCTGGGAATTAAATGGCTGCCCTCATCGAGCAATTGCTCTCTCCCTGGCCTAACCCTTGGATTGGTAGGCACCAACAGTGCCCTGCCACAGTAAGGAAAAAAGAAGGATGGATCCTGATGTACGCTAGCCAGACTAGTAAGCTAAGGATGAGGAGGGAAGAGGCAAGGTATCAAGGCAGGGCCCCAGTTACCCCAAAGGCAACCTCCTAAACAGCATATTAAGCCTAACATCAAGGCATGGCAGGTGGGAAAGAGATGCCACATTAGGGGGCCAGGGTAGGCAGACAGATGTAGTACAGCCACCAGGAGGTGTCATGACCACCCCTGGAGGTGCACCCCATTACACCTTGCCATCCTTCCTTCCATCACCTGTTTCCATACATGGGTACAATATAATACTTAAGACACTGTACCTAGGTAAACTGCTCTTGTTCAGGTGCCCTACAGCTCTGGATTTTGCTTTTGTAAGACCTAGGTGTTACTGTTGGCTTGGGCCAATCTTAATCAACACAATTAGAAAGCAAACCTGAAAGAGATACCCTTACTTGTAAATAGCCTGGACATATTCAGAATCATTATTCTTCTGTGCACCAATATTCTTGCCCATTACAGTTTCTAGAAAAAGAAAATTTAGCCAGGTAGATAATCATAAATAAATGAACACAGTCATGCAGTACTTGCAAATACTGGAATCATTTACATTCCCTTGGCAGGGTATTATTTTGTAGATGTACTCTTTTTTTCTTATTCTAGTCCTAATATTCATCTTCCCTTAGTTCTTTTTCATTTCATATTCCATATTGATCTCCAACAGCACTAGAACAGCTGTACTTGGAAGTTTCTTTATTATTGTATTGCTGTCATTTACTACACTTTCCTAGCAATTGTTGAATCGTACCTAGGACTTACCACAAATGCTATCCAGAGCGCACAGAGTGACGTCTAGAAAACAATCAAATGGTTCTTTGTCAACATGTTTTTCAAGCTTCCGAACTAAAATATTGGCTTGTTCATTCATAACTGCTAGAAAATCAGCCAAGATTGTGAAGTGGAAAGTGGGTGTTATCATTTTTCTCCTGGTGTTATCATTTTTCTCCTGGAACGCCACTTATCTCCAGTGCTACAAAATACAGTTAGATATTACAACATGAGGGAAAAAATATATCACAAAGGAAACAAAGTGTTTGCTGAGGTATTTAGTAGATTATACATTTCCTAGCATGCAAACATTTACAACTAGTACCATTATTAGTAAAGCTAAACTTTACTTGCCAATAGCCTCTGTAGTCTGTGTCAGCACATCTACATAAATGATAACTAAGAGCACTCTATTGACTTATGGCAGTGTTAGAGTTGTGCTGTATTTGTGATGGTCTAGGAAACATGTAAGAGGCAAGATTTTTGTGGGTGATATCTTTTATTAGACCAACTGCATATCTGGGGTAGATTTAAATGAGCTTTTGAGTGCAAGGCACACTTCTAAATTTCTGAATACATGCAGCAACATCAACAGGGCAAGAATGAATTAAATGAAACGAAACCGGTCAGAATACTGCTTCCTGAGGAAATGCAAACAATACCGCTGCACTGAGCTAGCTCATCCTCCCCCAGAATTCCCTACATCACTCCTGTGATCCCACCTAGCCCTACAGCCATGTGCCCTCTGGGAAACAAACTGCAGGAATGAGTCAGACCAAGACTAAAGCTGGCAGAAGCAATATATGCCAGGAACAACTCACACGTATTCTCTAAGCAGGAATGTCAAAGGTATGGACTGCAGAACTATATCATCCTGCCTGCAGGGCTAGAAAATTGGCAGTGGGACAAGTGGTGGCAGCATTAATTGCCAAGGCTCCCAAAGCAATGGCAATTACTATTTGTCTCACTGCCAAGTTTCTGACTCCAGACAGCCCTGTAGGCCAGATAAGGAGTGTGGAGTTGTGTCAACTGCCCCACAGGACTGCCCGTTGGCCAGAAATTTGGCAGTGGAACTAGCAGCAATTGACAGTTCCAGGAACTGCAGAAATTAATGTCACCACTGCTCATCCTGCTGCCAAATTTCCAGCTCTTTAGGTAGCCCCACAGGCTACCTGACACTGCTCCGTGCTCTGGATCCAGCCCTCAGGGGTGGGAAATGTGGTGGCAAAACAAGTGAAAATTGGCTTACACTTTTCTTTTTCCTTACGGGCAGGAAGTGGAAGCAGACGGAATAAGTTACTCACCTTTAATTAGTATCCTACTGGGTAAAGAACTTACTTAAGAACAAGGAAATCTAGGTTCTAGACCACTTATACCTCAGAAAAATATCCTAATCACCAGACTACAGACAGGATAGTCAAGGACACCATCTCCTCCCCATGGAAACTGGGCCACTAGACAGTCAAGAGCTCAAATTTCACTGGGACAGAGATAAAGCAAGTGAGAAGAAGCATGTTGTGCAGACTTCTGATAACTATGCAAAAAAGTTATACTGTGCCTCAGGAGTTGAGAATGAGCTAAATATGAAATTTGATCTGTTCTATACCCCATCAACTGTACAGGATTCAGCAGAGCAAATTTTGGACCAAGAGTCAAGAGAGATGGGTTCCGGTCACAGATTTGTCACTGCTGGTAAGTGAAAAGGAAGTTTTCAAACATTAATGGTCAAAGTCATAGTTGTAGCTGCCTTTGCTTATAAGCTATACAAATGATGGGGGGTGGGGCTGTATTTGTGAATTGCGCATATTAATCACATATGCTGAAGGAACAGTCTCTTATTATGGCTTTTGTGGGAATCACTATAGTTTCCTTTGGCTTCCCAATCTGTAAACTAGGCACAACAACATGTATTCATTTATAATCAAGTCATAAATGAGCAATAACTATTATTATACACCTGAACTGAGGTTGCACATTTTCAAGGTATAAACAGCATCTGGTTTAAGATTCTGTGTTCTATGGCTATTTCATATGGCCTCTCTTCCCCTGCAGTTGGAATATCCACTAGAGAACATAGACTATTAGTGTTGCTATTGACATACAATTATTAGGGCTGTGTGAAATTTCACCAGCTGTTTTGATTTGACACTGTTTCAACTCATTTCGAGCTCGAAACAATGAAATCAAATGGAAATGAAGGGCTTTGAAACAGCTTCGAAACAAAACGAGGCTAGTCAAAAAGTTTTGAGTTTCAGAACATTTCGAGTTTCAAAGCAGCCAGCAGCGAGGTGGTGGGAGACAGGGGAGAACTAGGGCTGGCTCTCCCCATCTCCCACCACCCAGCTGCAGGAAGCTGATCACAGCACAGAGGGCTCAGTTCCCCTCCCAAGCACTGTGATCAGGCTGGGGAAAGGAACTGAGCCCGATCGCTCAGTTCTCCTCCCCAGCCCAGATCTAGCAGCTGGGCTGACTTCCCATCCCCAGCCAGATCTAGTGCGGGGGATGAGGACTGAGCAATTGGGCTCAGTTCCCTTCCCCAGTCCCAGGCGGCAGCACCAGCTTCCCTCCCTCATCTGGCAGGCACAAGCAGGCACATAGGGGGCCCGCAGCCCCAATCTGTCTGCCAAATGAAAGAGGTTGTTTCAAGCTTTCCCATTATAGCTAATGGGCCAAACGTCAAAACAGCATCGAACCAGCCTCACTGTTTCGATGAAGCAAAATGGAACAGCTGTTTCAAATTTAAATGAAATTCAAAACGAAATGCTGTTGTGTCAAAACCTCGAAACTCAAGTTGAAACAGAATGGTGCCGTTTCACACAGCCCTAATAATTACCATATTTATTCAAGTACAAGATGAGATTTCCCCCCCCCAATCAGCATGGACGGGGAAAAGTCACTCGTCTTACATTCAATTACAAGGAAACCTCATTAAATACACTGTCTATCATTAAACTGCTGCCAAAAGCAGCATGTGCTCAGTAATGTAGACCAACTATGAACCCTAATGTAGACCAACTATGAACCCGATTAAACGCAGCCAACACTAAGCACGACTATAAAACACATGGCCCATATTGGGCAAAGATGCTGATGGAAACCTCTTATTTTTTGTGCACAGCCCTTAAAAAAAAGAAAGGGCAGTGGTTCTCCCAGGGGGGAACAAGCACTGGGCTTGGAAGTACTGCAATACTAGGCCAGCACTTAAAAAGACCAGAGCAAGTTCCGATATCCTTCCCTGGTGCCAAAATGCTGATACAAACCTACTTTTTTGGGGGTGGCATCCTCAGGCCTGATGAAAACCTTGGAGTTCAGATGCCCCCCCAGTCTTACTTGCTCTTATCCGAAACGCTAAGAAGCAACTAGGGGAAAGGAGCAAAAGGAGTCTCTCACTGCCACAAAAGTATTGGCACCTAGAATAGGTTAATGTAACCCATCTAAATTAGCCAAATGGTAGTGACTACTCAGAGAGTAGTAATCAATGGCTTGATACCTAGTTGACAGCTGGAATCAAGTTAAGTGCCCCAGAGGTCGGTCCTGGGGCTGGTTTTGTTCAATGTTTTCATCAACAACTTGGAAGATGACATGGAGTGCACCCTCAGCAAATCTGCAGGTGATTCCAAGCTGTGGGAAGTAATAGATATGCTGGAGGGTAGAGCTACGATTCAGAGTGACCTAGACAAATCGAAGGATTGAGCCAAAAGGAATCTCATGAGGTTCAACAAGGACAAGTGCAAAGTCCTACACTTAAGAACAATCCCATGCACCAGTACAGGCTGGAGGCTAGCTGGCTGGGCAGAAGCTCAGCAGAAAAGGACCTGGGGGTTACAGTGGACAATAAGCTGAATATGAGCCAGCAGTGTGTCCCTGTTGCCAAGGCTAATGGCATACTGGGCTGCATTAGTAGGTGTGTTGGCAGTAGGTCCAGGAAACTGATTATTCCCCTCTATTCAGCATAGGTGAGGCCACATCTGGGGTACAGTGTTCAGTTTTGGGCCCCCACTACAGAAAGGACATGGACAAATTGGAGAGAGAGTCCAGCGAAGGGTGACAAAAACAGTGAGGGGGCTGGGGGACATGACCATGGGTGACTGGTGCCATCTGAGTCGGGGGGGGGGGGCACATGCCCCCCTGGTGACCAGTCAGCGACTGGGGAGAGGGGGGTCCCCTGCAACTGATCACACTCACCTGAAAGTGGCTGTGGAGCTCCCAGAAGCTGCAGCTGCTTCATTCACTGTTTCATTCCGACTGATGCTCACAGGGGGGACACCAGCACTCCCACCTGAGCCCCAGCCCATCACCTAAGCAGGGAGCATGGCCTGACAGGGGGTGCACCAGTGCTCTCAGGGGGTGCACGTGCACCCCCTACGCGTTGCCACTGGACATGACTTATGAGGAAAGACTGAGGGAACCGAGCTTATTTAATTTAGTGAAGAAGAGACTGAGAGGGGACTTAATAGTAGCCTTCAACTACCTGAAGGGGGTTCAAAAGAGAATGGAACTAGGCTGTTCTCAGGGGTGGCAGATGACAGAACAAGGAGCAACAGTCTCAACTTGCAACAAGGGAAGGTTAGGTTATATATTAGGAATAATTTTCTCACTAGGAGGGTAGTAAAACTCTGGAACAGGTTACCCAGAGAGGTGGTGGAAGCTTCATCCATGGAGGTTTTCAAGACCTGGCTAGACAAAGCTTTGGCTGGAATTATCTACTTAAGGAATGTCCTGCTTTGAGCAAGAAGTTGGACTACATGACCTCCTGAGGTCCCTTTCACCCCTAACTTTCTACGATTCTGTAAGTGGGCAGCTAATTAGCATGTGGATCCTGGGGAGGGGGGTGGCAGCTGGTATCTAGAGTACATACACATACAGGTCAGCACTGCTCAATGGCATCACCATGGTTGCAAACACTGTTCAATCTGGTGGGGCTCAGCCCAACGAATTATGTGGTAAATCATGAGCCATTTGGCTTTGAACATCATGTAGTTAGTTTCTAGTTTGTACTATATATAAGTAGGTGTAATAGTATATTTATGGAGCACCGGTGCTAAAACTTGCAGCAGCTTCAATAAGGGTAATATTCATCAATTCTGGATGAACTAAGTC